TTCTTACTGACACTCCCTCCTACTTCATTCATTTTCTAAATGGTAACTTTCATTAAGATTTTATTCCTAACATTAAATCATGGTCAAAATGAACTTCTTCACTTATTAAACCTCATTTGACCATATCCCATACAATTTACCCTACCCAACTATTTGACCTTGTCCATCCCATTTGATCCCTTGCTGACATTGTTAAAAGGAAGAGGCAAAAATATAATATTTTTTTCTTATCATTACATTTGTCTTGTGTATTAACAAGTCATATTTGAGAAATGGACATATAGAATAATTATCTCAATTTAAACTACAAGATTGTAATTGCCATGAAAAAGTACAAGGTAAAGTAAATAAGTCTCTCCATACTCTTCAAGATAAGCGTGGACAACATATGAGACATATAATGGTGGTGTTTAAGCATTCAAACTACTAGATGTTTCAGGGAGGTAAAATTTCAATTGACTGGTAGACTCACCAAATAACATTTGGATTGAACAAAGATACTTGAAACTTTTTGCACATTTTTGGAGTATCCATGAGGTACAATAGGATTAGTTACTATAATTATTTGAGGATTACGGGTTAAACTCATATTTTTCAGTAATAGAAGAACTGTCATTAAACATCTGGAGTTGAAAACCAATCTTGTAGTGAGGACAGAATCAACAGATTGAAAAGTGGGTGCCTCAAGTTGACCTTGTATTGAACATCTGGAGAGCCCTCTTTTAGGTGAAAAAATATTGAGCAACCTCAAAATCCTTCTTGTAATGCCCTTCTTCTGGGTGGTTCTTCTTGTTTCTCCCCTTGCTCTCCAAATTTCAAGCGTCTACCATTGTGATAAGATCTCTCACATTATCAGAAGTTTAAAGGCCAGTTACTTGTGCAACTAGAAGGTGTGGGACAACCTTACCATTGTACATACCATCTTAGGAAGTATTTAGATACCGCTTCACAATATTGTAAAAGCTTTTAGAGAATTTCGCTAAACAGATAATAGTTGTGCTTTTCCCAGCATCCATGTGGTATTCAAAGTAGTTAAATAACTCTCGATCTGTCCATGATATTGAAGAGTATCAAGTTTTGAGTTCGACTCTACATCAGTCAATGAAGTGCTGTTTCTACGAGGAGGGAGGAGAACAAATATGATATTTACAAATACAGAAATAACGCATCAGAAGTCAGATGGAACTGATGAACTGATTAAAGGGTATAAGCCAGTCTGGATAAACTGGATTGGTCAAACCGGCTTGAGCCAATTAAGGCTAATAGGACCCAAGGGAGTCTACTTGCAAGTTTCTTGCATATGAGGCCCCCGCGATGATCTCTAGTAAAAAATATGGGTTGGTTTCTGGAAAAAGACTCTCAAACAATTGTAATTGCTAATCTCATATTGATGTTCATAGTCACAATTGGGAGTGCGGAAATCTGGAAATGCAGCAGCAGTGTGAGACTATAACTACAAGAGACTGGGGATGAGTGGTATAATTTCTACTGGTGTTTTCTGGTTGGGGCTCCAAGGACAGGGTGTTTGTAGCTGTTTGGCCTT